GGACGTGCAGCACACGGGGCTACCCCAGTACCGCCCGATCCCTGAAGCGAAGCTCGGGAGGCCTTATTTGGCACGAGCCTACAGCGAGAAACGGGGTAGGGCAAGCCAAAATGGCTGGTCACTTAGTTGGAGTACCGAGGGCTGAGCGGCAACGCTGCGAACGGCCCGCAGCCCACGGGGCGGCCCTAGTGCTACAGAGTAGCATAGGGCACACAAGAAAGGCCACGGCGGAGCTTCAGTCAGCCACAAGCTGTGCGCCCTGGCAATTATTAAAATTGGCGCGGCGTGCAGCCACTCACTCACCTATTCACTCATTCGAGCCCTGGAGCCCTGGAGCCCTGGGGCCTCAGAGCCATTCAGTCTTGCGAGGGAAAACCTCGGACGGGAACGCACGAACCGCCCAGCCCCACTGGCTGCCCTCCACCGCGGGGCCAAACAGCTGAGACTCGACGTCTGGCGGCGGGCCCACAGGCGGCGGCGGCGGCGGCACCTCCACGTCGGTCAGCGCCGCGGGCGCAGGTGGCGGCGGCGGTGGGTCCAACACCCATGCATCACCCGTCCTCAGGTCCGCCTGCCGCCCGTCAGCGGGGGGAGCATTCGGGGCTGCCCCTGCACACCCCCCGTTGGCAAGGCCGCCGACGTCCAGCTTGTGACGCTGCTCGTAGTTCAGTATCGCCACCCTCGCCTCATCGAGCTCCTCGCGCTTGTACTTGTTCCTGGCCTTTCTTGCTGTAGCCCGCCCACGCAGGGCCATTGCGCCCCATGCTGTTTGCGAGTATATGTCGCACCAATCGAACTCAGATATCTTATCCCACGTCACGTCGTTCATCCATACCCAATGCCCTCCCACTGGTTCTGTTCCGATTATTTCCTGGAGGTTGTGCCCACTGCCAAAGGGTCTACCGGCGAAGGCGTTGCACCACATCCGCGGGATTGATCACCTCGATGTCGTCCTTCTTGAACGTGTCCGCCCGCAGCAGGGTCTTCAGGTCCCTGTTGTCCTCCTCGGGGGATTTGGCCTGTAGGTACCGCGCCATCGGTGGCTTGGTTGCGTGGACAATCATCCCGACGCACAAGCCAAAGGTCGTTGTATTGCATCGAACTCCGCAGTGGCAGTACCATCGCTGGCCACTTCGGCCCCCCACCTCTTCTTCAAGGGAGAGGAGCTGTTTCCAACGGTACTACCACTACTACTGCTACCACTACTACTGCTACCACTACTACTACTACTACTACTACTACTACTACTACTACTACTACTACTACTACTACTACTACTACTACTACTACTAACAAACTACTACAACTACTAACTATACTACTACTACTACTACTACTACTACCAACTAATACTAACTACTTAACTACTACTACTACTACTACTAACACCTACTAACTACTACTACACTCTGGACTACTAAACTACACTAACTACAACTACTACTACTACAACTACTACTACTACGACTACGATATACTACTATTACTACACTATTACTATTACTACCTACTACTCCTAACCACTACTACTACTACTACTACGACACGACCTAACTACCTACGACCTACGACTACTACTACGGCTATCCCACTACTACTACTACTAGCTACTACAACAACTACTGCTACTACTTAAGACGACGCCTACAACTACCACTACTACTACTACTCTGCTACTACTACTACTACTACTAACTACTACGCACTACTACTACTTACCGCTACTAACTACTGCTACACATCTACTAAGTACTCAACTCTACTACTACTACTATTACTACTACGGCTACTGCTCGTATTACGATTATTATGTTTATTATAATGAGTAGAATTATTACTACTAATACGACCTACTAATACGAGTACTATTATTATTACCCCTGCCAGTGCGGCTACTACCACGCCTATTAGTACTACTACGACGATCATTACTACTACTACTACTACTACTACTATTACTACTACTACTACTACTCGTACTACTCGTGCTACTCGTACTACTACTACTACTACTACTACTACTACTACTACTACTACTACTACTACTACTACTACTACTACATTTATGAGTTCTACGCTTACAATTACTACCACTACTGCTACTGGAATTAAAGCAACCATTACTACCTTCACTAACCTCATGGCCATGACCATGAAACGAGTACTACGATTAGTAGTACTCGGGCCAGTACCAGTACGAGGACTAGTACTAGTACTAGTCCAAGTAGTAGTCGCACTACTACTACTACTACTACTACTACTACTATTATTACTACTACTACTGCTACTACTACTACTACTACTACTACTACTAATGTTAGTACTACTACTACGGCTACGACTACTACTACCACTATCAGCACGATTGCTATTTCCACACGTTGGAAGCATACTGTGATTCATTCATTTTACTCGTGCCTACAGTGCGATGGTCAATTCTCCAAGTCTTGCTAGTTTATCTGCCACTGTGCTTGCTACAATCACGTACTGGTCTTCTGTACGGTTAACATTGCCATTCTGTGTATATTGCGGCCCATGCCAATGCTACCATTGTCACCCCCGCTTCCGCAACTACGATTACAACGATCAGTTTTACGACCTGTATCCCTCCTACAATTGTTGCAACTACTACGAACAAAGTGTACTACTACTCCAACTATAACTTCTGCTGGTACATGTTCCATTGGTGCTTCTCTTTCTTATACTATTTCTGTTTCTGCCACTGTTGATAATTCTTCTTTTATTTCTACTGCTCTTATTCGTCGTCGCCGCCGGTCGTCGTCGTCGTCGCCGCTTGTCGTCGTTGTCGTTGCCGCTACTTGTCGTTGTTGTCGTCGCTGCCAGCGGTCGTCGTCGTCGTCGTCGTCGCGGTCCTGTCGCTGATTTTACCAGTGCTTCGATTATTGCTAGCGCTGCTACCACCATCACGACTGCTAGTACCATGTACGGGCCCGCCAAGCTACCATCACCCCTCCACGGCGGCCGTGCCCCCCTCTCCCTCCCCCCCGTGGCAGACGTTACGGGGGGGTGAATTAAAAAACATATTCTCTTTCGACCCTGGGAGGGGTCCGGTTTGGGATAGATCTTGAGCGGATTTGGAGCCCCGCATTTGGCGTAGACTTCCTGGCGGCTTCCAACAGGAGATGCGGTCCTCTGTGGCCAAGCAGCGGCTGCTCATGCGATCGTACCTCAGGAAGAACAACGTGTCGCGCGAGTTGTCCTTGGCAGCCGGAGAAGACAAACGTGTAACCACGAACTGTCGACGGTCCGCGCGGATTCCTTCGATCTGCGCGGGATCCCTCGGGCGGCGGCGCCTCTGGCGCCGCCCTTGGCGTTTTCCGCGCGCCACGGAGGGGGACCCATCTTCGATCCAAGAACTTTCGCGCGGACCTTCCAACGTTTATGATTTTGTTTCGCAGGGGTTCGCGTAGATCGGGTTGGATGATCACGCCGCATCGCCAATGCATCGCCGATGCATCGGCGACGTCGTCGATGCATCGGCAACGTCCGCGTTGAGAGAATCGTGCCCCATATCGAGCCGCATCGCCGATGCATCGGCGATGCCGAGCTATCCTCCGACCCCATCTACCGGGGCGCCATCTAGGAGACCAGGACCCATGCCATCCTAAGATCAAGCGATCTGTTTTGCCCAGCCATCCTGTGATTTGGGTCCTCGTTTCGAAGAGACGGTGCCCCGCGTCTTCCTCTCTTCTTCTCCTCCTTCTGCTCCTCCCTCCTCCCACCCTTGCTCCTGCCCTCCGCATGTCAACCAGTTCGGCACTCCCGCCATCCCATTCATCTTGGCACACTCCTCACACGTTCCGCGGCCCCATAGGGAGCTCCACCGAAGGCCCCAGTGACATGGTTCGCATGCCGCCACCCCACCACCTCACACGTTTCGTGGTCTCATAGGCAGCTCCTCCGAAGGCCCCAGCGGCATGGCTCGCATGCCGCCTCCCTTCCACTTTGGCACACCCCATCACACGGTTCGTGGCTCCATAGGGAGCTTCAAGGAAGGCCCCAGTGGCATCGTTAGCATGCCGCCGTTCTCAATTTTGGCACACCCCTCGCACGTTTCGTGGTTCCAAGAAGAGATCCACTGGAAGCCCCAGTGGCATGGTTAGCATGCCGCCCACCGCGCCAATTTTGGCACATCCCTCACGCGCTTCGTAGCCCCATAGGGAGGGAGCCCCACCGATGGCTCCAGTGACAGTGTTCGCATGCGCACAGCGGTCTGTGGCGCCATAGGGAGCTTCACCGAAGGCGTCAGTGGCGGTGATCGCATGCGTCTCCCCCGCTCAGTACAGCGTTTCGTGGCCCCAAAGGGAGCTCCACCAAAGGCCCCATATGCGGTGTTCGCATGCGTTTCCCCCGCCCGATACAACTCTTCGTGACCCCATAAGGATTTCTCCTGGAGGACACAGTACATGTCTCCGTGGCCCCAAAGGGAGCTCCACCGAAGGCATCAGTGGCGGTGTCCGCATGCGCCTCCTCCATCCAGTACAGCGTTTCGTGGCCCCACAGGGAGCTCCATCGAAGGCCCCAGTGGCGGTGTCCGCACCATTGCGGCGCGCCCCGCACACGCTTCGTGGCCCCATAGCGGGTTCCATCTAAAGCTCCAGTGACAGCGCCCACGTGGCGGCCCCGCCTCATCTTGGCGCACCCATTGGGGTATTACCCGACAGAGATACCCGCAACGACGGTATTCGCAGTTGCATCGGAGGTGAGGGGGTGAGATCGAAGTGTGACGGAGAGACCCCCTACCGGGAAATCGGTTTCGGTTTCGTGTTCGTGCGTGCCGTGCGTGCGGGCGAGGCGAAGCTGCGTGGGCGGGCGAGAAGAAAGTCTCCTCCGGCTGAGGCGCGGCCGGACCAAATGATTCTTTTCCGGGGGCCAGTCCCGCGGTGTCCCGCCAGTGTCCCGCCTCCGGCTGAGGCGCGGCCGGATCAAATGATCCCGCTCCTGGCCGGTGGTCCCCGCCGTTCCCCGCTGTCCCGACG